CTCCTATAAGTGTATATATTGGTATATGCTTGTACAGAATATCATACAACTGAATATAGAATCAGTATTCTCCCAAAATCTTTATTCCATTAAACTCTTCATGGTATCAGAGCAGGTTGCTCACTGCATCTGAATATCCTATTTGAACCTTGCTTTCTCAATATTTTTTTGATTATCCAACAGTTTTTCATGGCCAAGAACAAAAGCACTCTCACTATCCAAAATTTCCATCAAATGGCAAGTTTGGTATCTGTCAAATTATCAAGTACCAATTTCTTGCTGTGGAAATCTCAAGTTTACCCACTGATTCGAAGTGCTCAGCTTCTCTATCATTTGGAAGAAGCAGCACCAGTGCAGACTATCATCAAGGACGGCAATGAAATGGGTAATCCAGAATATGATGTCTGGTTAAGTAACGATGGATTGCTTACCAGTTGGATTCTTGGAACCATGAACGAAGAATCACTTAGTTTGGTCGTTGGCTATGACTCAGCTCTACAAATTTGGAGGTGCCTTGAAGAGCATTATCTGGCGTCTTCAAAAGAAAGTGAATTGCATCTCAAGGGACAATTGGCTACCAAGCGAGGAGATGGTGAATCACTTAATGATTTCATCAGAAAGTTTAAAAGGACATGTGATAATCTAGCTGCTATTTGCAAACCTGTTGCTAACCTTGATAAAGTCTTTCAACTCTCCAGAGTTGTGGGAACTCGTTATCAACCTTACAACCTTGCTGTTCTCTCAAAAGCACCATATCCTACCTTCAATCAATACACTTCAGGCTTACTAAACAATGAACGAGATCTGCAGGTTTAGGAACAAGAACATAAATCACAAGTATCTACGTATACACACATGTTTATGGCCCAAAGAGGAAGAGGTCAGAGAGGTCGAGGCTATGGTGGCAAGCAGTTCAATTCTAGGGGGAGAGGTTTTGTCCAAGCTGGAAATTATAACTGGTCCAGTAACACCAAAACCCCCTTATTTAACAGCAATCCTGCACCACAACAAAGCGTGTTACAAAAGAAATTTCAACCAAAGACTGTGACATCACAAGGTGAGAAAACTTGTCAAATTTGTGGAATTAATGGTCATACTACTTTGAAATGCTGGTATAGGTTTGATCATGCTTACCAAAGTGAAGAATTACCTCAAGCACTTGCAATAATTACTCTGGAAGATGACAAGGATCAAACCTTCTATGCAGACACCGGAGCCAGTGATCATATGACCTCAGGGACAAGTAATCTTATTTTTAAAAGGCCTTATAATGGGAAGCAAAATGTTTATACAGGTGATGGAACACCTTTGCACATCACTCACATTGGATCCACGTCTGTTGGTCCATTAAAACTTAATAATGTCTTAGTTGTTCCTAATCTTAAAAAGAATCTTATTTCCATTAGCAAGTTTACTGAAGAAAATCCATGTATCTTTGAGTTCTCATCTTCTGGTTTTGTGGTTAAGGATCAAATAACACAGGCGATACTGACCAAAGGCACTAGAAAGGGCCAACTCTATGCCTTAGATGAAGGGGAAAAATATGCTCTTGCAACATTGACAAATAAGGCTGTTGACACCATATGGCATCAACGCCTTGGACACCCCAATTCTCGCATTTTAAAGAATTTATCGTCAAAGAAAAACATTGTAGTGTCAAGATGGACTACACCTCCCCACTTATGCACAAGTTGCCAAATGGGGAAGAGCTGTAAATTGCCATTCACAAGAAATAATGAAAGAGCGAAATTCCCTTTTCATAAAATACATTGTGATCTTTGGGGACCCTCTCCTGTTCAATTGACTCATCATTTTCTATATTATGTAATCTTTGTGGATGACTATAGCAGGTACACATGGTTTTATCCTCTACATAAGAAGTCTGAATTCTTCACCATCTTCCAAAAATTTCAGAAGATGATTATGAATCAATTTCAAAGGACCATCCAAAACATTTCAATGTGATGGTGGGGGAGAATTTTCTAGCACAGCATTCCTTAATCACTTGGCAGAGTGTGGCATTCAACAGCAAGTTTCATGCCTTGGAACTCCAGAACAGAATGGAGTTGCAGAAAGGAAACACAGGCATATCATTAAGACAGGTTTGACTATGCTTTTTCATGCAAACATGCCACTAAGGTATTGGGTTGAGAGTTTCTCTACTGCAACTTATCTCATTAACAGGCTGCCTACTCCTTTGTTAAATAATAGAAGTCCTTTTCACTTACTTTTTGATAAATCTCCAAATTACTCTATGTTAAAGGTGTTTGGTTGCCGGTGTTTTCCTTATCTTC